GTTGAGAAGATCAAAGACTCAGTAGCCAAAATGAGGATCACCGGGTATAAACGCCGGAGCCAAAATGAGGACCACCGATGATAAAATTTCGTAGCTAAAACGAGGACCATCGGTCATGAATATTGTAGCCGTAGTGAGGACTATCGGTCGTAAATATTGTAACCAAAACGAGGACCACCGCTCATAAATATTTGTAGCCAAAATGGGGACAATCGGCCAAAAGCTGTTGCCAACGTGAGGACCACATATCAGAGCACATCCGTCCTCAGGAAGCAGCTCCCTAATTCTATTACCAACAAAATCGTTCGTTTACTTGGTTCCAATAAGACATGTGGTAAAATTTGGTCCTCTTTTCTGTCGCATGGGACTGTATTCACAGCTGCACAGCCAGCTAACCAAGGAAACCACTGCCAAACTCGCTAGCAATGCATAAAGAAGTGCGTGGAATTATACGGAGTTGGTCTGAGATGAGGGCATGAACGTTAGCGAAGGATTTAATTTATTTGCTAGCAGAAAGAGCTACCTATAGGTCGTTATATCAAATGCAGACAGCACCAATGTCGTCCTTCGAGCAGTTCAGCTGCTTCTTAAGGAAGGATACTTGCGCGGTGCTCAAAAAGAGAAGCGTCTCGGATTATCGCCAACCAACGATTTTTGGCGAGGGCGTAATATGTGCAGAAAATGACCTCTAGCGAGATTCTGTCTCGCTGTGTCGTCTATATGGACGAGAACTACATACACCTCCACTTTTCGATACACAACGATTTGCTAGTCAACCCTACAGATGATAAGTATATGAAAGAGAAGCAAAAGGGAACGTTATTAGAATAAACATTATCTTTTTCTTACGTAAATTTTACCAAAATTGACCAATCAAAATTCAAACGCATTACATATTTTATCCTAGTCAAATCGGTTTTCACTATCAGAAGAAGACTCCTCGCACGAATCCATGGCTTCAAGATGCTTCTTGAGCTCGGTCAATTGCTTGTTCGCGGCATCAATTCTTGCGCTGAAATTAATGAAAACATTTTCGAAGACGCGTTGTAGCCTGAACTTAATATCTGTAAAGGTAGTGATTGTCGAGTACTGGCGCCCAACCTCGCCTTCTACGTTTGCCCACACGATCTCAATAGGCTGTATATAGGAATGGTAGAGTGGTGTCTATATGATTTCATAACTTATTGCTCTTGCTTTGTCGACTATCACTGGAGCTACATTGTCTTTGATGTGCTTGAAGAGTATTTCCTACAGTATTGCTTTTGTTGTGTTGGCTGGTATCTTCAGCTTGTATTCGTTCAAAGCGCCAATGATTTTTGCTCTCTTGCTGCCCTGCTTGGGGGTTGTTTCTGGTGGTACTTTAAGATACTTGGCGCTATCCATCACATAATGCAATTAGATAGCTCTCTGATAGTGCTTCAAGTAAGGTATCCATCCAGCCCACAAAAATATCATGGCAGAACATGCCATGATAATCTGCAAACTGCTTACCACTCTCGAAGCTATCCACTGTGTCAAATAACAGCTCTGCTTCTTTACCAGGCGGTCTCATCATCATCATTAGCTGAACGATCTATTTCAAGGATCGCAGCAATAGAGCAGCTGCTGAGCATGAATTGTTGGTCCTGTTTGCGAAGCAGGTGGTGGATTTCGCAAGCGTCCGCGACGAAGCCAATGGAGACTGTGACGGCTTTGCTGACCGCTCTTTGCGTGTGGGCAAGAAACAGCGCATTGAAGCTCGAGTGCACAGTGGTGACCAATTCATGTCGCCCACCTCGATCGAAGTTGGCACACGGAAACAGTTTTTAGTTGGCTTTTGCACATTGGCCTGTTAGGCATCTTGATGCTGCCTCGCGCAGTGATGGATTTCACGACACCAAACGCAGACGAGACTGCTCTTTTCATCCGGAAGTTAGCCCCTTTCTTCTCCACCGCGCGCACATCCTTCTTGACACGGCCACGTGTGCGCTTTGTTTACAGATTGAAATTGGTCTCGTCGAAGTACACCACAAATTTGTGTTGCATCGGTGGCACTGCTCCACTGGTGTCTCTGCGAAGACCTTACGCTTCTCATTTGCCGATAGCGTTATTGCACGTGACAAATTCGAAACGCGTCGATGAGTACAGTAGCGCAAGACCGTTAAAACAGATTCATTAATGTCTGCGCGCACGAGGTGGCGCTAGATCGTCGACAGAGAGAGGCCTCCATGGAAGGCATCCATGACTATGGTCATCATTGTAATTAGAGTGTAGGCGCAGCACTTGTTGCAGTACTCTTATAGATCCTGCTTGATCTGTGACTTCACCTTCGTCGTCCACGCGCCACCACGAGGTAGACTCTCGACACGACCGCCATTACCGAGGTACCCAGCAGTCGCACGCGGGGAGTCGTTGTGATGTGAAACAGTACGTCAATCGCCTCCGTCATTGTAAGCATCCAGAACGCGATGATATTCTTCCAGTGATTACTGCTCGAGGCGATCTTGGGAGGGCGTCTGCGCTGGCGCTGGCGCATTGATTTGGTAGTGCTTGAGATGTGCCAACATATGCTGGTTCCAAGACGTTTTGCGCGCGCGTGAAAGCAACATGCACCCGAGCTCGCGCACAAAATCCGCCAGCTTTATTTGCGAAATATCAACTTTGATTAGAAAGGTATACCGTAGCTTGAGCAAATCAACATGAATCCCAACTTTCCATAGTAAAAGCGTCGACTTAGTGTGCAAGTGAGGCCAACATTGGCTGGGCAAAGATGAAGCTGCAGCACCGTAGGTCGAATTTACAAGAGTATTTTTTAAAGATAGAGGATCTACCCACGACTTGCAACTGATACATATAATTCCGTCGGGGTTTATGCCGCTCTGTTGTAGTTGAATATTCGGTTTCTCAGCCATTCCGTATTGTGCTAATGGATTGGCAGGTCTTGTCGTCGTACTTGGAGCAGATAACGACACCCGCAAGCGTTGTCTGTCCAAGCACGCGAGCTTCAGCGTTGATTACATGAAGATATCACCCGGGATTGAGAGGTATCACTTGACACTAAATATCCTCACACTGAATGGTTTTTGAAATATAGCTTATGCATTAACGTTCCGCCTAACCTAGCTGCCGTATTTCTGTAGAGCGTCGTTTTGCAGGCTGTTGGAGCGTTTTACCCCGTTCTACCGTATCGTCGGCTTCAACGGTGTAATGGGCGGTCTTACAAAGTGGAATTACCATCAGGCTAAAGGCTTACTTCTAACTTTCTACATGGGCTCACTGGACAGGTCATCCCTGTGGAAGGGGTTCAGGGTAAAATGCCCACCCCCTTCCCTATCAAAACTCTCTCGCACTATTGTACTCGTCATTGAACGTTGGACCAGATTATTTAACATGCCATTTGAATTGGCGAAACTCCTCGAGTTGGCACCAAAAGAGAACAAGGAGCCTACGTGAATGTTCCTTAGCATTTCGTGCATCTAGTGAGCTATTTGCGTCCTTACTAACATGTCCGAGCCAGGCACCTCGCAGCAAGAGCTGACACCAGTCCAAAAGGATACGTAGTACGGTGTTCTTACTTCATGTCCAAAGCCAAGGAAGATGGCCTCTTCAGAGGGCAGCGAACCTGGGACCTGGTTGCTGCGTGTCTACAGATAGCACACGACACTGTTACGACTGTGACGAGCACCAGCAGAGCCGACAATGAGACCAAGCTTGAGGTGCATTATAGCAATTTAGCGGTGGATTTTCCTTATCAACTATTTAGCGCTAACCTCTATTATTTTATATGTGAAGTTAAAGCCTACTCAACGCGGAAGGAAGCGTAAATACGACCCAGCAGAGCGGGACATAAGGTGCCTGTTTAAATATTTTTTTTGGATTTTTCTTGCACTCAATAGTTACAATCGTAATCGGATTTGCTGCTGTTCAGTTGCGTACTTTCTTGTACTTTCTTGCGCAAATCCATGTGGTTTTGGGAATTGCCCAATCAAATGACCGCCTCAAAGGCAACCCGTTTCCCGTAAACCTGGGGCATCTGGAAATAGTTATAAATAGTCTGGTAACGCAAAAACCACTGCGAATCAGCTAATTCTGACCACAGTTTTGAAATCTACACCCGACTTTACCCCTTATATCTAACGGCTACTAAAGGATTTTGGCTGTTGAATCCTCACAACAGATGGCTATAGTCTGGTCCAAGGACTTGTGACGAGTACAATACTTGTCGTTATGCACCAGTCTCTTCTACAATCGATGTGGAGGTTCTTACGCGTCAAGTATTATCGTGTTGGGAGCTTGTTTTCGGAGGCGAATTAAAAATTGTTTTAATGGTATCAGGTCCAGCAACCAGCTAAACAAGATTTTAAAAATATATTGCAAAATGGCTGGCTCCACTCCGTTTTCGTTAGCGGATCGTTGTGTTTGAGCGCGACTGGGAGTAAGGGTCGTACTGTCATGTTGCGACGCCCACGGTGATATGGTTATGGCCTGAGAGCCCGAGTCCAAAACGTAATCCTCTTCCAAAAGATCGATTTCGTTTGCGGACCGTGACCGGGGCGTCGGCCACTTATCAAAACTCTTACAGTCGTTTTCTGGCGTGGGTTACCTGCCACAAACCGCATCTCGCATCCAGGCCCTTTCTCGAGGGCCTCGGTGATATCACGGAGTGCTCGCTTCAACAACTACGCTCTCGTATCGAAGAATTTGTTGTACAGAGCCGCAGTATTCCCCCACTGGACTTTGCGGCGTTAGCCGCATCTGACTTTGTGACATGGCTTGTGACGCTAGAGCGAAAGGATAACGGTACCCTAAGCTACTCCGCTCTGAACACGCATCGGGCAGGGCTGTTTAACTTGTTTCGTGACTACGGCCACACCATGCCCAAGCATTTAGAGTCAGAACTCACAAACTACTTCAAAGGGCTCAAGCATAAGCTTGTGAAGGACGCAGCTAATGGTGAGACCTCCGTCAAGACTGGTAAGGATACGCTCATGCTTGATCTGTACTCCTTCCTGTGCGAAACGATGCTCACTCATGCAGGCAAGGAGATGGCATTTGCCCACGCATACATGGTAGTTGCTTGGAATCTCATGTGCCGCTCCTCCAACGCATTTGGAATACGCCATTCACATATGGAGTGGAGAGGCGACGCGATACAGATTTTTTTTCGCGCATATGAAGAACGACCAAGGTGGTGAAAGACCGCGTGACCCTCGTCATATCTACGCCAACCCGCTACAGCCAAATATTTGTCCTATTCTCGCTTTAGGACTATATTGGTCGGTTTCAAATTTTGACGGTACTGACCTACCAGCAACCAGTACGAGCGCTTTAGAAAGTGTTGGCTGCGTCTATCGGCACACGAGGATGTAGCCACCGAATTACAGCGTCAGGGTCTTAACGCCACCGAACTGGGGACTCACTCAATGCGAAAAGGCTCAGCCACGTTCTGCTCTTCAGGGTCAACTGCATGCCCATCGTCTACTGCCGTCCATTTGCGAGCCGATTGGTCGCTCGGGGGGATACAGAGCACATATCTTCGTTACGAGGCTGCTGGCGACATGCACGTGGGTCGTACAGCTGCAGGACTTTCAGTAGGGCTGCAGCTGTCCTACTGAAAGCTACCGGCTCTCGACCTTAGCTCCACATTTCGATACACGCGAAGAGTGTGTTGTGATCGGGCTAAAAATGATGTTTCCAGTCTTACCCAAAAAGCTCGAGTATATCGCGGAGTACTGCTTAGCATCGTTGGTCTACCATTCGTCATTCCTGAAGGATACTCTCTCTCCACAGCACCACATTTTTGAGACGCCTATTTTCCAAGATGGAGAGCTACTATCAAATCTGACAGACCGAATACGGACAGGTGATGGGTGCACTGAAGCTCGTATTCGCCCGACAGGAGTGCCACCCCATGTCTCGATACTATGTGAAATGAAAGGTCTGAAGGACGGGCTGTTTGACGCGCTAGCAAAAATTGAAGCTACGCGAGCTGATACTGTGCAGGACATTATATCTGAGCTGGAGAAACGTGCTATCGGTGCCAGTACTGTTACATACGACGGTCTTCATGATGCAAATAGGGCGTGTCTTCACGATACTGGAGTTGACGATCTTGTAGAGAAGCGAACAGGCGGACATGATTCTGTCGTCGACAGTGCCACAGAAGATAGCAGTCGCCATCTCTATCACTACTGGAAGGGAAAATTTCGTCGTGTACCCGCTGATTTTACTATCCCCGATTGCTCCGTTCGTCATGTATGGGTGCTTTGGATGTGTGGTAACAAGGCTAAGCAGGTACCGCCGCTTCGCTTACTTGATGGCCGTAGTATGCCAAGCAGGAAGATGCAAAAGCGTCTGAGTCAGCTCCGCTACCGGATGCTCAAGATCGAGAGCGATGCTGCATCTAAAGATCTGCTCAGTCGCAGTCATACCATCGATGGCGCCACTCATGTGTTCGTTGAGTGCTCAACCAGCGTCGCTGTTGACGAAACTACTGAGAAATCACGCAAACGAAGTCGCGGGTAGCTCAGCTGGGCGACAGTGGGAAAACTGCTGAGAAAGAAAGCAAAACCAACAGCTAGTTAACGTCACACACTCAAGAGAGCGATGTTACACACCACTTCACTTTTTTATCCATCTATTCAGCGTTTGTACCCACCTCTCCAATATAATACAAATTCACCTGTCTGACACCTGTCTAACGAGTTCCGTCTAAGAATCATTTTCGTGTCACGCGGAAGCTCTCTCGTCTTGTTGATGATGGAAGACTTTGCACTCAAAAATTAATGTAATCTGTCGGTACTGTACAATATACGCTTACGTTTGTACTTGAAAACGCAAAAACGCCCGTATTTCAGCTGCAGAGGAGATTGCTCGTCTGGATCGTGTTAGTTCTCCAGTGTACTGTGCAACTGTTGGATTTAGACCGTGCGGCTGGAGCAGCTGCGGTTCAAAGCGGTAGAAAAGACCGGTTCGGCCGCCGACTATACGGACGCACAGGAGAGGTGGCACGGGTGGCTGCCTCAGGAAGATGGTTAGTAGAGCGAATATCACTTCTACATTCTCACAGTACAATCTCTGTCTAACAGATTATGAGCCCAATGGTTAATACTGTTGCCACGGACGAAGTCCAAGGCTGGCCGGAAGCAGAGCCTAGTCGCGAAAGGGCAGGCAGCCAGTACGGCGAAGATGATGAGGTCAAGAAGGCGGACGACGAGACGAAAAGGACGCAGGACAAGCTACTAGACCTACTCAAGGACCTCACAGTGCGCATGGGACGCCTGGAGGAGTCGCAGGAGCGGCAGGAGGAGAAAGAGCGCAAGGGTCGAGAGAGCAGCGTCTTCGGGTCGTCGCTGGGCCTGGGCAGAGCCATGGACAGGCAGGCCCTGGACCAGACGCCGCCGCGGCGCACGTCGCCTGCCGTCTCGCCGGCCACGTACTTCGGAATGAAGCAACGTGAGTACCGATATGCAGCAGTGAACGTCGGGATGGCTCAGGCGCCACAGCCGGCGCTGCCGCAGCACTATGTGCCACCGCAAGCGTATCGAGCGCCACCGCCACCGTCGCCAGGACCGGGATTCGCTGGAGTACCTGACACCCGGCAGAGGAAGCTAGGGATCCGGCCGTTCGACGAAAAAGAGCTGTACCATGGGCTAGGGAGCGGTTTCCTGGCGTGGGGCAAGCGCTTTGTGCGCCAGATACAGTTCGCCGAGCGTGCTAGTGGGTTCCAGTGGACCGAGGACGTCAAGTTTGACATCCTCGGTCACCATCTTAGCGGAATGACCGAGAGGTACTACAACCAGCAGGTTGAAGGCTGGTGGGGAGAGTAGCCGACGCTCGAGCATGTGATGCAGCGGATGCTGCACACCTTCGCCACGAAGATCACACCCCCGCAGAGCATGAAGATGTTCACGACACCGAAGAGCTCCAAGAGAAGCTGGACAGAGCACTACCTATACCTCGTGGCGGTTAGCGAGGCGTGCGGCGGTGCGGACAACCTGGTCCTAGACAACATCGTGCACTACGCGGATCCGAACATGCGAGTGTCGATGCTGTCCAGGCTGAACTTGGCACGCACGGACTACCTGCGCCAAGCGGAAGAGCTGGCGCACTTCGCCCAGTCGACGGAGATCGAGCTGCGAGGCAAGCAACTGGGGCGAGACGTGGTCAACGATGTGCACGAGGACGAGAAGGACGACCGCAAGTGCTACAAGTGTGGTAAATCTGGCCACTTGCGGGCGGCCTGTCCGAGCAAGAAGAAGAGGTGGGGCGAAGGCGCGGACGCTGACTTCGTGCTCACGGTCGAGGAGTCGGCCACAGTGACGGAGGACTGGATCCTGGACAGTGGATCCAGCCGTCATCTGGTGAATGATCCGGAGCTGCTGGAAGACGCGGAAGACTACGAAAGTCAATGCGTGGCAGCGGACGGAGGAGCGCTAAAAGTAACTAAGCGCGGGAGCGTGATGCTCGTGACCACGGCGATGGGAAAGATGACCAAAGTGCGGCTGCTGAACGTGCAGTACGCTGAGAGCTTGGAAAGGAACATCATATCGTACGGGTTGCTGGAGGAGAAGGGGTACGGACTCGCGTACCGAGGGAAGCACCGCGTGGTAGCCGGCATCAATGGCGGGCCGGCGGTGTTTGACGTCGAGAAGACAAACAACGTTCTCACCGTGCGTGCAATGGCGTCCAGAGGCACGGGGCGGAAGGGCAATGTGTTGATGTCGATGTTGGCGGAAGGTGAGGCGGATGTCGGCAGGGACGTGCAGACCGGGCCGCTCATGCATTTCCACCGTAGGTTAGGGCATCTGAACTACGACATGATCATTAAGATGGCCAAGGACCCGGCTTCCGGGATTTCACTCACGGACGAGGTGAGGGCGAACTGCTTGGCTTGTGCCCAGGGCAAACAGACCAAGAAGAAGCAGTCGCGCAAAGACACCGGGGCAAACTCGCCCATTGACGTGATCGGAGGAGTCATCTGCTCCGACCTGAAGGGGCCGATGACGCCGAGAGATCGACTAGGAAACCGATACATGGTCAACTTTGTTGATCATCGCACCAACTACTGCAGGGTCTTCTTGGCGAAGACTAAGGACGTCGCGGCACAGAAGTTTAAGCATTTCATGGCGTACTTTGAGCGGCAGTTCAACTGCCGTATACACGTGTTGAGGACGGACGGTGGTGGGGAATACCAGACCCTGGATCTCTTCTGCAAAGATACCGGAATCAGGCGGTAGATTAGCGAGCCGCGAGACCAGGCTAGTAGCGGCAAGGCGGAACGAATGCACCGCACCGTTATGAATATGGTGCGGAGCATGGTGTTCGCATGTGGCCTTCCGCTTAGTTTCTGGGGGATGCTGCGGAATATACAGCCTATATCCTAAACAGGAGCACGACGAAGGCTAACCCGGGATCGAAGTCGCCACTGCAGATGCTCACGAAGAGTACACCATATTTGAGTGCCATCGTGGTTTTCGGGTCGCCCTGTACGGTGCACGTGGACGCAAAGAACAAGTCCCTGGGTGAGAGGGGCAAGGCGGGCATGATCGTGGGAAAGAACGACGAGATTAAAGGCTACCGGGTGTATCTCCCGAAGGATAAGGTTGTCGTAGTGACGCAGCATGTGAGCAACGTCGAGACGTTGTCGGACGTGCAGAACGAGCAATTGAAGCGCGTGCACCTGGAGGACTCCGAGGAGTCGGCGGGCACGGGCACTTCGGAGACAGACACTTCGAGGAAAAAGACGAAGGAAAGGCGAAGTGTCGCGGGAACAAGTCTCGCTGGACGCGGGATAAGCATCAGACGCGCTCGGCTACGCGGAAGCCCGCTGAGGCGTTGGCGAGTGGAGGCGCTGATGAGGATCGGGTGGAACAGACCGCGGACGTGGTGAACAACGTGCAAGAGCCCGACCCGGAGAACTACCGGCAGGCAAAGAGGAGCAAGCTCTGGAGGAAATGGCTGGTTGCCATCGCGGAGAAGCTCAATGCGCTGGAAGAGAACGGCGTGTGGGTCGTGGTGGTGCCACCGATCGGCCGCCACGTACTGCACACTAAGTGGGTATTCAAGACCAAGGCTGATGCAGACGGAGCCATAGAAAGGTTCAAGGTCAGGCTCGTTGCGTGCGGCAACGAGTAGATCATTGGCGTGGACTTCGGGCTCACGTTCGCGGCGGTCATGGAGCTGAGCTCGGTGAAGGTCATCCTGATTTTTGCTCGTCGCTGGAGCGTGCCGGCGAGGCACGGGGACATCTCCAACGCGTACGTGAAGGCCGACAAGGAGCAGCATCTCGAGATCTACCTGGATATCCCGCAGGGGATGGTGATCAGAGATGAGGTGATGCGTAGGTTAGGAATGAGCGTCAAGGGCAAGCTGGCGCTGCGATTGAGAAAGTCGCTGTACGGCTTACGCCAAGCAGGTAGGCTGTGAAGTCAACTCCTGCACGCGAAGCTGGAGGAGGTGGGGTTCACACGGTGCGTGACGGACATCTGCCTATACTACAAGCGAGAGGAGGGCGAGATGACGCTCGTAGACGTGTACGTGGATGATCTCCTGGTCACCGCGTCCAAGCCGAGTCTGGTGGACGATTTCTTTTGCCGCATGAGTGTGTTGTCAGTGAAAGACTTGGACGAGGTGAGGAAATTCTTGGGGATGCGCGTGGAGCTAGACAGCAGCGAGGGGTACTCGCTGGACCAGCAGGCGACGATCGAGGAGCTGCTGGAGCAGCATGGGCTGGCGAGCGCGAACAGTGTGCGGGTTCCGGTTGGTGAGGAGCACAACGAGGCGGAGGTTGACGAGCGCAGTTGTTGACCAAGGTGGGTGCGCCGGGTGAGCCAACGATCTGCCGTTTCCAGTCGCTCGTGGGAAGTTTGCTTTGGATAGCCCGGTGCACGAGACCCGACATTAGTATCGCTGTGCATAAGGCGACGAAGAGGACACACCAGCCGACCACGAGTGACTGGAAGCTGGCCAAGAGGGTCGCAAGGTACTTGAAGGGCACGAAGAGCGTCAAGCTGATCATGCAGGCGCCGACGAGGATGGACGACGTGATGGCTTTGAAGAGCTGGAGCGACGCAGACTTCGCCGCCGACAAGAGCGACAGGAAGTCGGTGACAGGAGGAGTCGTGACGATGGACGGGGCTGTGGCGCAGTAAATTTGCAAGAAGCAGACCGGCGTGTCGCTCTCCACGATGGAGGCCGAGTTTACGTCAGCGTCGCACGTAGGGCGGGAGCTGCTGGGACTTCGGGAACTGGTGCGTGAGCTGGGTTTCCGCGTAGTGGAGCCAGTGCCCATGAGGATGGACAACCAGGGCGGCGATTAAGCAGCTAGAATCCGAGGAGAGCATGGCGAGTGCGAAGCACGTGGACATCCGCGTGAAGTTCATCTGTGATTTTTCCAGGAAAGGGATAGTGAAGCCCGAGTACGTGGAGTCACGCCTGATGATGGCGGATCTTCTCACGAAGGCGTTGCCGGCGCCGAGGATCGCGGAACTGCGGGAGATCTTCAAGCTGAAGTGACGAGTCCTGCCGAGAGTGCGACGACCGAGGAGGAGTGTTGGATTTGGATCGTGCGGCTGGAGCAGCTGCGGTTCAAAGCGGTAGAAAAGACCGGTTCGGCCGCCGACTATACGGACGCACAGGAGAGGTGGCACGGGTGGCTGCCTAAGGAATATGGTTAACAGAGCGAATATCACTTCTACATTCTCACAGTATAATCTCTGTCTAACAGCAACATTCTGCACATTTCCGGATGACTAAAAAGGTTGAATAAAATAGCATTTATGACTTTAAAATAAAATTAATCGACCAATTTACCTAGCTTCAACCACCATCATTCACAGGGCTGCACTGTCATTAACATCCAGTTTTAGAAACGACCAATCAGCGTCCGTTTCAGCGATAACAGTTGCAGCACTTTGCATCTTGCTTTCACACGATGAACCCCGACGTATTGGACTTCCTCCTCGCCAATGACCCGCTCGGCTGCTTGCGTCCCGCATCAACGATCAATAGCACGAATATAATGTCCCAAGCCATGATCTCGTCCTTCTCTATGGACGTGTCCGCCTACTCCAGCGACCTGTACGAATACCCAGCGACAAATCGACCCGTCAACGGTCTACCCAACGCCTTTGTCTTGTGCTGGGAGAACGTCCTCATCCCAACGAAGTGGATGCGCCAACATCTCGGGCTCAAACCGTCCGTACCAGCTCTTCAAGCTGCCAAGCAGCGAGTTTTACGCACTCCGAACCTGCAGGCAGCACTCGCCACAGTTGAGCAAGATCTCATCCACTTACTCAACTCCGTGTCGACTTACGGTCCGCTCTTCATTGTCAGTGAAGAGAGTGCGCAGTTTGTCGAAGCCATGTGCAAAACCTTCTTCCCTCGACTGGCCTTTTGTCTCGGTAGCACAACAACAATGACCAGTGTTCATGTCATTGGAGCTCCTACCAGGTTCCAGTCTGCAGCGGAGAAAGCGGGGTGGCGAATCAATCTACTGCAAAGTTTGTGTCGCGATCGACTCTTTGGTGGTGCGCCACAGCGACTTCTTGACCCGCATGCAGGTAAGTTTGGACTCGTCGTAATAAGTCCACATCAAACAGATATTGCTGCGTGTGGCGACGTGTATAAGGCGGCACCATACGTTGTCGCTAAGAGTGTACACGTGCAGAATGCACGTCACCTTACTCTCGAAGCGTTCACACTGCATCTACGGACACTGGCAGAGTACGTCCCACAAGCTGCGCCTTGTGACACGAGCTTCGCTATTCAGCTGAGCTGAATCAGCTCTAGTCAACCCGTATTTATGTTTTCTGATCCCTAATAAGGGGGTTTCTAAATAAAATGGGTTGTCAGAAGATTTAACATAATAAAGTACTATTGAAAAATCGGACTACATTCGTCGAAGACGTGTCCTCATCTCACCTGTGACGGTGCCGATCGTCTCTGCTGACTATTATGCCACTCTTGGTGCGCTAATTCCATCTACGAAGACAACAGGAACAGGCGTTAGCTCGTCGCCGAACGCTTTACCACCTTTTTCCTTCGTCGAACACGACTGCGCACCTGCTTGAAGTGGCTGGCGGCATCCACGAGAGCTGCGTCTGTCGCTCGTCGCGCTCGCGACAGTGCGAGGCTGCGTCGTTCTTGAAACCTGGTGCTTGTGCCAGCTTTGATGGACTCGCCGCTCTCTGCTAACTGGTCTCGTGTCCGCGACGTCAACGCTGTCAACTGCGTCTTCCACTTGGACATTCGGTCGCTGCGTTGCTTTTCGTAGTCTGCGAGATTGAACGCCTTTTTCTCTGCTTCAAACGTTCCTTGTGTCTCGAGAACATCCTGCTCGCTTTGTGGCAGCTCCACTTCGACCTGCAATGCGCGGTACTGATCCATCGGCGAATGAGCCGCGAGGAGGGACCGCACAGTTGCGTTGCTATTTGACACTGAGGTTTCGCTCTCTATCGACGACGTTGATAACGACGTTAAATCTGTTGATAGACGTCGGAACTGATCTACTTGTACAAGGTTCGGTAGACGCTTGAAGAAGAGCTGTGCGTAGGCAGGCATAAGGCGTACAAACGGATTCCCGGCGAGCCTCAAGATACAAAGCGACTTTGGAAACTCGCTGACATCGAAGTCCTCGATGTAGTTCATCGACAGATCTAAAACCTTGAGCTGCAGTCACAAATATACGCCAGCTAAGCATCTTAACGGTATTTAACGTTACCACGACGACGTACATTTTGCAGATGCTTGAGGTTCTTGACTTCTCGAATCCGGTTGCCAGCAAGAGCAAGGAACGCGAGTCGTTGATGGTCTTCAAGCCCTTCGATGGTCTCGACCAAATTGTACTGGAGATACAGCTCCTCTACGTGTGTGAACGCGTCCAAGTTCTCGATCTTGCCAATATCCAGCCAGTCCAAGCGCAGTACTTTCTTGCCTAACATCGCCTCCACCTCCTTGTCTTCGTGCTCTGGGCTTCGAGTTCGTCGCGTGGATTTCCTGGACAACGCGAGGCTTTCTCGAATGAGTCTCATACTCAACTGAACAGGTCGTTCGTTCTCCGCCGGCGTGTTCAAGGCCATATCTACCATCTCGTCGTCCAGAGCAGCCATCTCGGCGTCGGGGTCAGCCTGCCTCTCCGCCTCTCCGTTACCTTCTGTGCAACTTGACAGTTGCGAGGAGCGCGATGCCCTGAGCCCTAAACTTGCCAGCCAACGTTTGTCTCGAGTCGCCATGATTCGCTCAATCGCCCGCTGGTCCTCGACGCGGCGGACGTTCAATGCCGTGAATAGTTCCATGTACGACACAAGAATAATACTGTAGTCCTCGTCGCACCCGTTATTTGGGACGAGGTGGCCAGTAACGCCCACCCAAGTTGAAGTGCTCGACCAATCAAATCAGAGAAAAGTTTAGATCTTCACAGACCCACATGTGGCTGCCACGGCAGCTGCAGTCACTTGGCTACATTGCTAATGCCTGTCGACCCTATCATTTCCCGTAATCTGACAACAAACTCTATTCTATTTTTGGCTCGCTCTATCTTCACTCTAAATCGGTGCCCAACTCACCCTACGAGGGATAAACACACACACATGGCGCTCTTCCACGACTGCTGGACGAGCCGGGGTGCCGCACTTGTACGTCTACAGCAGCTTCTCGAGTGCGTTATAGTTTAATGCGTGATCTGCGCCATCTCGGTTGATCTCTAAAGTGTGATTCGGTGCAGTGACGCCGAGGCCCAAGCCGAGACCGAACGCAAGGCCGCGACACACATCCAGCGGCTTTTTCGAGGACAACGTGTCCGTGCTGCTGTCACAGCTCAGACGTTAGTTCATCTGTGTCTTTATCAACTCGAAGTGTGCTCGCTAACCGGACTTGATGTTGAGACAGAGATGCTGAACTCCTGATCTCTCGTGTGTTCCGAGGACACCTCGCACGACGACGCTGTAATCAACTACGCACTGACTTGGAGCGAGCGCATCGCCGCTCAGTATTGGATTACTACGCTGTAGTCATCCAGAAACTTGCACGCGGGGTTCAAAGTCGGACACTTCGGCTCGACTTCCGTAAACGGAAAGCTTATGTTTTGGAACTTGCAGCCAAAGGAGACCTCATGCGTCAAATGCTGGAAGAAAACCTACTTAAGCAACAAGAACAGGAGAAGCTAGACACTAAGAAAGCCGCAAGAGCGGAGCTGGTCAAAGTCACTCAAGATCTCCATCACTTGGTCAGCACGCGTGCTGTGGCTGGCATCTTCAACTCGCCCATGCAGGCAGCAAGCGTCACGAGTTTCGGTGTCTCTGTAGAGAGCCACATTCGAGAAAACGCCCGTCGTGTGGTGACTTCGCGACTAGCTAAAGCTCGTCCACCCTCGAGGTTAACACCATATCCTCCTTCAGATAAAACTACTCTACAAAGCTCGGGTCCCTACGACGCCGTGCAGCAGGAGAAACGCAAGCAAACGAAGTACCACAAGCTTCGCCGTATTGGCAGCTCCGACTTTGCAGCAGTCTACAACCCAGAACAAGACGTCGCTCGGAAGCGAAATGCTCCAAGTATAAACTCCGGTACGGACTACGTAGACGAGTGGCGGAATCCCTACAAGAAACGAGGGGTGCCTCGTAACAAGCGCGACCTACTGCCTCAGTTGTCTACGCTAGGACGGTACCCAGAGACTCCATTCTACTTGACGTATGGCGGCAACAAGAGCAAAGTGCTAGCGAACGACCGCTTCGACGTGTAACTGGGGGTGATATGAAATATATCAGATGGAAATGGGTACATCTCGTGATATTTGGGGAATTTGCGAGACTGGACATGCACATTTTTTTATTCGTCGCTGATCTTCTTGAGCTCGTTCATGTTGGTCCCGGCCAGGGGTTCGCCTGCAACAGAAAAAAGTCAGTATTGTTGCTGCAACTAGTAAAAAATCGAATGCAACTAGTGGCAACAACAAGCGCAGCAACGCACCAAAGAATTTGAGGCTGGAAAGCACGGTCTCTTCGGCCCCGTAGTTTTCCTCCACGAAGACGGAGACGCTTTTTACACGCTGGAACTTGACGAAGCGCAGCTCCACGTCGTTCTCGGGCAAGAGGTCCTCCTCCTTAAGTTCGATGGTTTGCGTGGGCTCCACGTCTCCAGCGTCCGAGAAGCCCAAATTGGGGCGGTTCACATACAGTTTGATGACGCGTGGCGCCTCCTCACCCTGTGGCGCGACAATGTTGAGCGAGAAGATCTTGACAGCATCCTGGAACTCAAGATACAACATCAATTGTTCTTAATCGCAGTAGTATTAAAACGAGAACACACGGTAGATTAGATTAAATTATTCACGGATATGGTGTTTGATGAACTCCCACCATCGGCGTCCGACTTGAGGACGAGCGAGTCGTCGCCCGCGAAGAGATTACGGAAGGGCTTGTTCGGGTCCTCATTCAAACAGTAGCAGTCCTTGGTGCTGATGGACTCCTTCAGGTCTCCGTAGGCCCGGGTCTTTGCAGCGGCAGTGGTCGAGCTCATAGTTTACTTCGGAAATGAAATCTGCGTCGATGGATTTAGAAACAAATATTTCAATTTATCGTTTTTCTAAATATCGTATCTTGCTCATCAGTTTGAAAAAGGTGATTGTACGGGTTGCAGTACTCCTAGCCGATGGTGATTTTCCAATTACGATCTTGCGCCGATTCTGCGGTCAGATTAGCTTAATTTGGACTCCTTATGGGTGAAACGTAGCTAAAAAAATGGCTCTCAGAAGCTCAAAAGTTTGGGGAAAGGGCAGCTACTGCGTCTGATTCGGCACCTTTACAATATTTAGCTTAAAAGGACGTTTATTAGGAGGTAATTGGAATAATAAAAAATCTTTATTTCGATTTTAGATTATATTTCTTAGCTTTTTTTTATCATTTGCTGTTAAAGTTCCAATGTTACCGTTTCATGCTCAATAAGGGCTGGCAAATCACCGATAGTCAAACTATACGCCAAAGCTAATGGCGCTTAGGTTTACAAGGGGAAAGATTCAGCGTTTCTTGGGGCACAATGCTCTGGTCAGCAGCCGTGCCTGGAGCATAGGGGATCTAGCCCATTATTCCGGGCAGTGCTTGCGATCACTACGTACCTAGCGGCCTTGGATCGCGTGACGCCCGACTTCTGAGCTTTAGCCTCTCGGTGCTTGCGGAGAGCTTCTTCACGCTGGGCATCGGTGGCAGTAGGGAGTCCTTGAGCCAGTGTTGCCCCTTACATACCAGGCATCCGTCATATGGCGGCGTACCCATCTGTTGACGCGTCGTGCGGGCAATAGCGTTACCGGCAGTGGCAGGTCGCGTCGATGTCGCGGGGGCTGACGCTGTTGGCCCTGTCTTAGCTCCCCCATTCTTTTGCGGCTTTCGCTCGCCCGAGGAAATACCATCGGTCAGTAGAAAACTACTGATCTGTCCCCAACGCGGCGCAGAAAAGACGGCAATCAGTAGAAAATGATAAAGTTCGATCCGTACCTAACTCTAATCATAGCTAGATTTCTGCTGCCTTCAGCAAAACCGCTTTTGCCCTAAGCGTACCATGCCTCGAAAGCCGCCTCCGAATTATGGGAGTTCTCCCTTCGTGGTAGATCTTTCTGACATCGCTACAGCTATAATCATGGGTGTTTTGAGGGAGGACGCAAAAGTTGATACCTCAGACCGCTCCGGCCAAACGTATGGAGGAGTATACGTGACGCGAACCAATATTGCAGACACTGAGTTTCCAACACAAATAAGGAAACTAACGACACAAACAATTGCAATCGTTGACTGCTGATTAATAATTAAGGTATTTCTTTCCAATAGATTATCTTACTGATCCTCACTCTCAATAAATATCAGCAGCAAACGGGCTGGGGAGTCAATCTCTGTGAGTAGACAGAACTATACTAACGTACCCTAAGAGTAACCAGTTGGATACGTCGTGTACCCAGCTACTTCAACGTCAACATGTTATTTCGGTGTACTATTTTTTAGCTGCTCAAAACGCCTTTATTTATATGGTTGTTTTTGTGGAGTGCACTTCGGTGGCATTCGCCATTTTGGTCGATGCCTCCGCTCAACCCCCGACAGCGTCAAGCCCGAACGATCCAGCGCCGTCTGGACGGCTCCTTCTGGCAGCTTCATCTAAGCAGAGAAGTTAGCATACCCAACGAAGTCGACCGAGAGCTGGACGCAGAGCGTGCATCGTCCATAGGTGGTGGGTTACGTGACGTTGTCAGTAGAGGAGGAGGTCTTTTTGCAAATGAGCGCCGAGCTCGTAGAGGAGACAATGCTCAGCTCTTCGAGGTAGAAAGAATATTCGCCAAACGGTGGGTCAATAACTTCGTATACTACCTTATTCAATGGGTGGGGTACACAGAGTTGACGTGGGAGCCAAGTACCAACGTGCCAGCGCGCCTAAAGATGGTGTTCGAACACGCGTCAGTCAATTTCGTCTGGGTCTATCAATCTACGCGGGCAAGACGAATCCAGCGTCGCGAGCAGCCAACGCGCCGGAGTCAGAGACTGTTAGACCAAACGAGGCAGGACAAAGAGAAAATGCAAATGCGAACTTAACACCAAACGAGGCAGGGCTATTAGAAAATGCAAATGCGAACTTAACAGCACTCCAGTAGCTGTGAAATCAGTAGTTGTGCAGGCAGCGCCGCGTTGGGGACAGATCAGTAGTTTTCTACTGACCGATGGTATTTCCTCCGCTCGCCCTTCCCTTGGTGTCGGTCCTTCCGGCATGGTCTTGAGATATCCGGTGGAACCGCTGTTGTATTTTAGCATGCTCGAGAATCCGATCGAAGAGCGCGACGTCATCAGACTTGCAATCGCGCCGCTCCAGCTCAATGAGGCGCCCAATTTGAGCCTTGAGGACCGGTGGCTCGAGGTTGTTGATGAGGAGGAGGCACCGGGCCTTCATCCTGTTCTTGAACTCGGGGTTGTCTTCACCATCGGCCCCGATGAGGCCCTGGAGACCATTGTCCTCCACTATACCATTGAAAACTTCGTAGTAGCGAAACATGCGCGCGTCACAGTCATCAATTGATAGATTCATCCTTAGGTCCGCACGGAACAGAGACGTAACGTCTGGCTCGAATTCGTTCTTGAGGGTGCGGCATCGGCGACGGACGCAATAGGCTTCTTAAGCAAATACTTGGCTATATTCTTCAGCGTATGTCGCCGCACGGAGCCCTTGATAGTAGCCACTACGTTCTTGTAGGTTTCTCCGTGGTGAGCAGCGATGCTTCATCTTCTCGACGTAGCGCTCCCACTCACGTGCCACTCGATGAGAGCGGGTGCTCCCAGCTAATCAGTTGATGACCTAAACGATCGGATGGGGAAGTGACATTTCCACGTCCCCGACGAAGTCGACCATGAATCGCCCCGTCATGTTGAAGTTACCCGAACTAAGGTCGCACTTGGTGGTTCTCGCACTTAAGTGAACACGCACTTATTAATAGTCGACGTGGTTCAGTAGTCAACGACGACAGACGACGACGACGAGAGGAATCTTCAGTCGAACGCGCACTGAAGCGACGATCAACAAACTCTACGCTTCGTGTGAGCTAAGCTAGCTTTGTTGCGTTACCCGGGGTGCTTCCGAAAAGGAAAGTTTATTAATGAGGAAAATAAAAACAGGTGCTTGGCCACGGTAGGCTACCCCTTCACCGTGCCTTGAATAAGCAGTCGTGGACGCGTGCCAGCGCCCGCTCAAGTCCCGCACAGCGTGCCACCAGTCCATACAATCCGTGCGGCGCAGTCACAGCGTCCTCGATACGTCTCTAGGCACGTGCCTGGGTCCATTGGCCAGCGCCAGCAAGTGTAGATCGCCGACGCGACCACAGCTTGACCGTCTTGAACGAAAGGCCGTAATCGGCGACCCCCCCCCCCCGGGACTTCTTGAGGGAATGTCGACGCTAATAGAGGAGAAGGTGTCACTGCTAGAAATATCACGAAGCAATTGCTGGAGACCTGGACTGCCACAAGGAGCATCAGCTCCATCATTTCGCACAAATGTATCACCAGACGAAAGTCAAGCTTATTATTCAAACGGTCAATGTCCCTTCTTACCAGAAACATTTGAGTTTCCGCGCACAGGACCTTATGGTGCGTGGCAATAATGGTGGCTCGGTGATAAAGCTAGAGGATGGCCTCCTATAAAAAAATTCACCTACACGACTTCGGGAAGCGCAGCCATCGCAAAACGTTTTTTTTTCGATTGGGCCATGATGATCAAGCATCTCACCGATGCAGCGACGGCAGCTGGTCGAGACTCCTACACGCCCAGCAGAACAAGAGGCAGCGGCAATTTTTACCACTGCTATGAAGATACCTCATCAAGGCGCAAGCGCCGAATAGTAGAGCTCTCTGTCACCACTGTCCTTCATTTAGTTAGAAAGAACCAGAGTGCAGATAAGCGACACAAACGAATCGATTAGCTACCAATTAAAACCCGTTACTTTACCGTCTGAAATACGTCTTACGTTTTGTTTTCAGATAAGTGATTGGCAAAAGTGTAGAGAAGCAAGTTGGGTCAATGCCGCGATGCTGCATTGGGTTTTAATGATCAAGAAGAAAGGCAAGACGCAGCACGTTTCACTTGTCTTGATCTTAGACCACTTAATCAGATCGAGTTATCGTATGTGAGCTATCGTTCAATCGGCATCGCTAGCACAATATTAACCCTCAGATAAAGAGTTGTTGTACTGGTCAAAAAAGGTTGTACCAGAAATTGTAACATCGGTACATTGTGGGCTGTTTCTCATCTAATAGTAGACGGGTGAAGCCGTACCGACCCTTAAACGCATACTAAGCATTTCCTGATTCGAATACAGGCATCCATTTCAAAACACGTGGCTTAGAAAAATGGCAAGGGGCGAATGACTTAGCGACGATGATGTGCTATCCTTGTGAATGCGTACAAGTTCTCAAAGGGTCGCCAAGAAGACGGTAACGCGGCAGGAAGAAAAATCGAATCGGTCCTACAAGCACGGTTGCGCTTTTCTGGGAGGTCTACAAGGCGCGTGGAGCTGCCGACATTTTTGACACTTTCGAGATGGTCATGTGCTTAATCAACGATATATATCAGCTTCCCGTGTGTCAGGCATCGGTAGTCGAGGAAAGACGAGGTCAGAAAATTTGAGAGCCTTTAAAATATTATATTGAAAGCTCAAATGTGGTTTGTATTAATAGTGTTGAGCTGATCAGTTGATGTCTTTCACTGTCTCCGTATTCGCTCCGAGCAATGCAGCCTACTCTTCAAATGACGAAGCTACCAGTGGCTGTGGAGGCCGTGATGGCGAATGGACAGACGCAGTTGTGGGACGAAGAAGTGCTCTTGGACCTGGAGCTGACTACAATGGCTGGGTTGGTGGTGCTACGCTCGGTGTCATGCTTGGTGCTGACTGGAGATGGTGATATTTTTTTACTGGGCCGCGGTGCTCAAGGGACTCGGCATTGACGTGGAACAGCAACTTTCTCAGTTGGCTGACTTCCCACTTCTCGAGGATGAGGTGGACGA